GGGCACTACGAGTTCATAGTGATGCCCTTTGGACTAACCAATGCGCCAGCTACGTTCCAGCGCTGTATGAACGATTTGTTTAGGCCGTGGTTAGACATATTTGTTGTAGTTTATCTAGATGACATTCTAGTGTTTAGCAGGACCCTCGAAAAGCATCAAGGTCATCTCAGGCAGGTCTTGGAGAAGCTGAGGGAAGCTAACTTCAAGATCAACGCAAAGAAGTGCGATTGGGCAAAGACCCAAGTTCTGTACCTAGGCCACGTCTTAGACGGAGACGGCGTTAAGCCAGAGGATAGCAAGATCGCAGCGATTAGAGATTGGCCCACGCCACGTACGCTGACAGAGTTGCGCTCGTTCTTGGGCCTAGCTAATTAGTATAGGAAGTTCGTGAGGAACTTCTCCACCATCGCTGCACCCCTTCGCAGATTGCTGAGAAAGGAGACCATTTGGAAGTGGGATAAGGACTGCACGTCTGCCATGAAGAAGTTAAAGCAGGCATTGATAGAGTATCCAGTCCTTAAAGTCGCCGACCCGTCCTTGCCCTTTGTCGTCACGACCGATGCGAGCCAATACGACATAGGTGCAATGTTGCAGCAAGACGATGGCAATGGGTATAGACCCGTAGAGTTCATGTCCGCCAGGATGCCTTCATAGAAGGTCGCGACATCTACCTATGAGAGGGAACTCTACGCTCTCAGGCAAGTGTTAGACCACTGGAAGCACTACTTGCTTGGGAGGCACTTCAAAGTCTATTCCGATCATGAGACACTGAGATGGTTAAAGACGCAGGCCAAGATGACACCTCAGACTTCTAGGTGGGCCGCAAAAATAGATCAGTACGACTTCGAGCTCAAGCCTGTCAAAGGAAGTACAACATAGTAGCGGATGCTCTGAGTAGGAGGGCAGATAACTTTGGGGCAATAGTGCACTACCTTGATATAGGGAAGGATCTGCAGCAGAAGGTTAGAGAAGCCTACGCACAGGACCCTATCTAGTGAGCTCCTTAAGAAGGTCAAGGAGGCCCCAGAGACTGAGCCGAACTACCGCACCACTGAAGGGTTGCTTTTTGAGAAGACTAATGTATTTGACCGCCTGTGCATCCCCAATAGCGAAGAGATTCATAGTCTGATTTTGGGAGAATGCCATGACACAGAGGGTCATTTTGGTTGGCAAAAGACCTTAGCCAATCTGATGTGCGCGTATACCTGGCCAGGGATGAAGAATTACTGCGTAGATTATGTTCGCAGTTGTAAGGTCTACCAACGTAACAAGAGTTCTACGCGCGCCCCGTTAGGTCTTCTCAGACCCTTACCCATTCCGGACCAACCGGGAGACTCAGTGTCCATCGACTTCATGGACACTCAGGTCAAGAGCAGGCATGGCAAGAGCCAAGTCATGGTCATAGTTGACCGATTTAGTAAGTACGCCGTCTTTGTTCCTTTGCCTTTAGAGGCACGCACTGATTTAGTCATACAAAGGTTTTTTGACTGTTGGGTTAGTGAGAATGGAATCCCGCTGTCTATAGTTAGCGATAGAGATAGTCGCTTAACCAGCCAGAACTGGCAAGAGCTCATGGGAGTGTATGGATCTAAGTTGTTGATGTCGTCCGGCCGCCATCCAGAGACTAACGGTCAGACAGAGCAAATGAACAAGATCCTACAGCAAGTTCTGCGCATGTACATTAGRCCAGATCAGATTAACTGGGATGAGATGTTACCTAAGGTAGCTAGTGCATATAATAACAGCGTGCATCTGTCCACCTGCCGCACTCCCAACGAACTGCACAAGTCCTTTAGGCCCCGTAGACCATTTGAAGGACTTAGYCGGGATCAGATTCAYAGATTGCCRCCYGGGACCAGGGWGTTTGCTGTGCAACACGAGAAAGAACTAGCTACTGTAGTAGAGAACCTCAGAAAGGCCCAGCACAGGATGATAGAGCAARCCAATAAGCATCGTCGCCCCTCACAGTTTCAAGTAGGCGACTTAGTCTGGGTCAGTTCTAAAGAGTTTGCACCTGAGGAGAACATCTCCCAGAAGTTACTGCCCACCTATAGAGGACCGTGGCCAGTCTTAGAAGTCAAGGGTGGCGAAGATGGATCTTCCTATACCATAGAACTCCCAGCACACCTCCACACGTATCCAGTTTTCCACGCATCAAAGTTGTTACCGTGTCAAACGAGTGATCAGTTTCCATCCCGTAGGTCCATGATCCCACCGGATATGGATGGAAGATACGACATCGATGGAATAGCTGCTGGAGATGTATTCAGGACTGGAGGTAGGGGTCGTCCACAGAAACAGTACAAGGTTCACTTTAGTTATCAAGAACCGGAAGACGACCGCTGGTTTACAAGGTCTGAACTTCTAGAGATCTGTCTCTTATACACATCTAGATGTGTATAAGAGACAGTTCCCCATCTTACCTGTGTACAGTATTGATGTCAACCCGTAGATTTGAACCTGCGACCTGTCGAAACGCCAGTGGTAGGAAGATTGTCGTAGGTCACAGCTTAGAAGGGAATCGAACTGTAGACTTGTAGGGTACGAGTCTAGACAGTTCCGAAGTCGTAGTTGTAGGTTCTCTGAAAGGTCAAGGTCGTAGCTGCTACTTACCTGAAGGGGCAAAGTCGTAGCTGCTACAACACCGAAAGGCCAAGTCGGAGGTTTCTAGAAGTGGCCTTTCGGAGGGAGCCTACGTTGAACAGAGGCAAGTGGTCAAGTGGTGGTAAGCCACCCTGCTGAGTCAACAGTCCCAGTTAGGCAGTCCGGTCCTGTCCAGCAAGTACCGTCTGGGACTGTGTGCACCAAGGGCCAAGGGACACAGGGCAGACCAACGCAGCGCAGAAGTATAAATCAAGAGGCTGCGTCCAGCCATTCATTCATTCCTGCGGATGCCATGCGGAAGCGCTGCCTCAGCAGCTTGTGCGAGGAGGTCTGCAGTGCGCCCGAAGACGAAGTGGGCAGAGAAGTGTAGTGTAGCGATAGGGTAGTGGCAGCTAGCGCTGCCATAGCTGTAGCATAGAGTATGTGTGTGTTGTGTATGGATACTGAGTGTTGCGTGTGGGACATCCAGGGTGATCCAGWGTGCGAACAGTGAGTTGTGTGGGCGCACCRTCGCCATAGCCAGTTGGAAGAGAACTCTTATCTGGTCACGATATCTTGTGTACTGTGTGGGCGCATGTCGCCAGTTTGCTGTATCGCTGTTTGCATGCATGATGAAGTGTGACTAAGTCAAGTCTGATTGCAGACCATAGCTACGTGGTGGAAAAGTAGTGGTGGTCCTTGAGGAAGAAGGCACTGTGGGACGAGAGAGGAGATGAGGGCAGTGTGACGAGGCATGTGCCTGATGTAACAGAGGCAGCCTGTTCAAACAAAGACTTCAAAGGAGAATTGGGTCGGCAACAAGTCAAACCTGTCGTAGCAGTCTGTAGGTTAGATGGTAGGAGTAGCTGTAGGTGGACCTGGCCAATACCCGCCGACAGGAGTGCATTGGTGATGGGCAACGTTGGAGTGGCTTTCATTATCAAGAGAATTTGATGCTTCCCTCGTTCCTATTTGGTGTGATCTCGCTATGCTTTCTGCTTCTTTATCATGCGACTTCAATGTTTTGTGTTTTGCTCGTACTTATTTGGTGTTGTCTGCCTTCAGTTCAGGTTCAGAGTTATCTGGATTTCTGTGATATGCTGCAATCTGGTTTGTTCAACTTTATTGTCATTCGCATTGCTCATTTCCTTGTGCAAGGACGAAGACTGCATTCCTGATATGCAATCAGACAACGTTGCAGAGCATACACCTTGTACGTTTGCATGCAATAGCTGGTATTATGGTTTGCCTTTCACATGCTTCAAATTATGTGCACGTGAGCAGGCAATTGAAGGCCAAGCAAAAAAAAGAACGTTGAAGCGATCCATGCCTCCCCTTTTGGCATCCTATGATAACCCCAGTGGCTCATGGCCCCAATTAAAACTTACGTATTCCGATAGGCTTCCATTACGACCCGCGAACTCAGTCTGCATTCTGCCATTCTGACCTACAACCCAGCTTGCATTCTGCCATTCTAACCTTGCAACTCAACTCAGCTCACCCAGCCTACTCCACAGCTCATACACCCACATCCACTGAGCAGTACGGCATCCCTCAGGGCTCAGTGACGTGGGATCTATTGGATAGCAACAAAGGAAAGTGAAGATGACAGGCTGCACTTGTGATGGTAGGAGAGAGTTTGGACATGCAAGTTGGTGGATGGGCACATTCATCAGACACTCCGTCAAGCACAGATTAAGCATACAAGAAATGACAACACAGTCATAAAGGGAAAAACGGTAACAAAAGCAGAGTAATACATGGGAATCAGGAGCTTAGGTACTATTCCCTGCATAAAGTGTATGCTCAGACCCTTTCCTTCAAGGCTGAAAAATATGGATATCGTATCCCGTCGTGGATGTGTAAGTAGATAGAGAGAGGTATGTAGGTAGCTAGTGCGAGGTGAAAATTTTGAGAGAAGAACATAGCTTAGTTTAATGGGCAGGGGGAAACATCGGCATCATGGGATACAATAACCATGGTAGGAGGCTTACCTGAAGGCTAGATCAATGGAGCGAAGAGATAAGCAGGCCCCATTCGCTAACTCCACGAGTGTCGCATTTCCAGCAATTCCCCTGGAATAAAGACAGTTATATGACAATGGTAAATGGTAAAGGATGACAGCGATGAATGGATCTAAGCAGTAATGACGGTTAATGGAGATGATGATGACGGGTCAATTGATGACGTTGTTTACGTCCTGGCATCGTTCCGCTCCATCATCCAGGTTATCAACTACACATAGGCACTGAGATCCCCACACCAGCGGGCTGGCCACTTGCTCACTGGATGGGCACCAGTTACACCAGCGATCTGCAAACGACAGAGCATAAAGTGGGAAAAAGACAAACAAATGCATATCACATCACGTGGACTTTGCATGCAACCGTCTTCCCTAACTTCCCCCTGCCCCCTTCTCTTCCCCCTCCATCTACCACTCATCAAACACCTCTTCTCCAACTCTTCTTTTCCAGTTAAGACACCTAACTATAATATGGTTTGAACTTTGAACTGATGTAAGTGCTAACCTCACAAGGACAAGATATGCACATTCACTATTCACTGAACAGTGTACACTGTGGTGACTGTGCACCACAATATTTCGTAGAGTTAGCGCCTTGTCTTGCTCATCTACAAGGGCTTCATACCCAACCTGCCACAGTAAAAGAGTTTATGACTGGACTCAGTGTTGGACCCCCCGACGGTCGGTGGCCCTTGATTGGTTGGCTGCCGACCCCCCGACCGATCGGCTGATCGGCACCTACCGTTCGCGGATCGTCGCCACCCCGCAACAAAATTAAAAAAAAAAAAAAAAAAAGCTGAGTACGGACGCCGCCCGGCCGGGCAGGTGGCCCGGGCAAACCGGGCGGGCCAAAAAACAGCCCAGAATTTTTTTTATTTTTTTTTTGAGGGCGGGGTCGTG